GTCTGTTAGGACAAGCAGGCTGATCACATCACAACCCCTTCCCACTCTTTCCCAGGGGGTTGTGATGTGACCAAACACATCTCTATGTATGGAGTGTTGCCATACAGTCTATGGCATATAATAAATTTAAAAAGATGCTTTCAGCTATTGAACTGCACCAAAGTTTCTCTTGGCAGACTCTACCTCTTGTCATACAGTGGGAAAAATCACCTGAAGAAGAGTGCATAGCTGGAGCAGAGAATGGGAAATGTATGTTTTGAGGGAACTCACTGGTGATTCAAGGAATTCTAACTCAGTGTAATTGTGGCTGGGGACACAAGAGCACCTTTTTTGGTGAAGGATGTATGTGGATTTATCCTGCCAGTGTTACCTGTAAATAACAGTGAAGTCTGGTTTTAGGATCAGATGACTTTATTCTCTAATACATTTGAAAATGCTTAGACAGACTGAGCCCATTCTAAGTATCAGGATACAAGGATGCATCCCTGGGGCACAAGGAGATGAAGGGTTTCTTTTCCTGCCTATGAGTCAAAATATGAATGCAACACAATGAAAACTTGTTTAGCTCACAAAAGGATTACAGGGTGTTCCAGAAATTTTAATCCATAGAGAATTCCTAATTACTATAATAATGATTTTTCTTGCAATAGTTCGTAAGTCTTTACTGAGCAAAAAGGGAAAATGTCTTGTATGCAAAGGATTTAGTTTTAAGTTACTTGATAATTACCCTGTAAATGATCACAAAGTTGATAAAAGGCCTGCTCCTTCTTGCAGATAAAGCAGTAACTATAGGGAAGGAAATTTGTGGAACAACCTTTTTGGATGGTTTTGTTTTAGTGCACTCAGTTACTGAGGGTAAATTCTGATTTGCCTAGAATGTGGAGTGGTACCAGGGGCTGCATTCTATAGACCAGCCTTTTCTACTGTCTTGTAAATACAATTTAAAGGTGCGGCTTATAAGTGACTTTAAGTGATAATGCTGCCATGTTCTGCAGTTCCTGATTCATGCAAAAACCAAAGACAAGAATTTGAATCACAAGGGTGATATGCTTTTTGTTGTTTTTGTTGTTTTTGTTGTTTTTGTTGTTTTTGTTTAAAAACTAAAAAAACCATAAAAACTAAGCAAAACAAACAAAACAAAATAAAGCAATCCACCTATACCACTGACTCTACAGTGTCTCCAAAACACTGATAGAGATGTAGACCCCCACACTGAGTTAATCTAATGTCAGAAGGGGTGAAGACCAGCATTGAACATGCAACAGAAAGTTGCCTGTTTTGTCACTTTCCCAGAGAGAATCTCCCTTTTATTGCTTTCAGCCACTTCAGCCTCGTGTGTATCTTGTATTATACTATGGATCTTCTCACATGCTTTTTGATACTACCTGTTGAATGATGTAATCCTTTTGTTCTGAGAAAAAAACAACTAAAGGAATAGAAACACATAATATTACCAGTTTTTACTCAGACTAAGTAGTGTGATGTAAGACTAAAAGTAGTTCTTGTTTTTTGAAGATTGGCCAGCCTCCAATTATTTGACTTGGAGAAGAAAGATCTTTAGGAAGTAGGTAATTTTTAAACTGCATGATTTCCTGTGTCTTCGATACTGCCTGCATCTGGAGAGAAGATATGTGAACTGCATTGAAATTATTGCATTAATATAGATTAATTATGAAATTAATAAAATTAATTATAGATTAATATAGAAGTTCTATGTAACTTCTTTTTAAACATTTTGTTACTTCAGAATATTATTTCAATTCAATGTTTAATCCATGCAGTTATTTGCATGAAGTATCTGTCCTATAATAGGAAGATTATTTTAATGCTTAAATTTTTAGACAGAAACGGTTTTGATGCGGATTTAACATACATACCAATATTTTTTATTTTTGTGACCAAACGTACAGATTGTTGTAGGTCTAGGAATCAATGATAAAATTCAGGTTTGCACCTATTTCCAGTAGATTTCCAGCTTTTTTGAGTGTTCAGGTATAAATAATAGTCACATACCTTAAGGGACCCTGCAAGAAAGATGGAGAGAGACTGTTTACAGTAAAGGGATGCAGTACCAGAGCAAAGGGGAATGGCTCCCCATTGCCAGAGGTCAGGGATAGATGGGATATTGGGAAGGAATTGCTCCCTGTGAGGGTGGGGAGGCCCTGGAACATATTCCCAGAGCAGCTGTGGCTGCCTCTGGATCCTTGGAAATGTCCAAGGTCAGGTTGGATAGGGCTTGGAACACTCTGGGATAGTGGAAGGTGTTCCTGCCCATGGTAGGAGGTGGGAAGCATATGATCTTTACATCCAACCCATCCTTCCAACCCAAACTCTCTGGGATTGTAGGACCATGAGTCTATAATTTGATTTCTTAGAAGAACTTATTGATATTTTAAATCTGAGTATAGCTCAGATTTTAAATTCAAATGGAATAATGGAATATAATTTCAGAGTCATCAACTTTCTTCCTACCTCCATTTTCTGACCTACCTAGCACTGTCCTGTTGCTTGGTTCTGCCCTTTCCCTCTATCCTAGGGAGTCCCTGGCTGTTGTAGTGCATCTAAAAATCTTGGTATCTCCCAAGGGTAAAACTCACCTCTGGTTTGTGTAATGTTAGCTCCTACCTGAAAACCTTCTTTCCCTTCCACCTTCCCATGGCTGTGACCTCCCTGCATCCCCTGATCACCCCTGCCCCCTGGTATAAGAGATAAGACCCAGAGCATTTCGCTCTCTCTCTTGTCCTGGATGGATGACAGACAATAAACCCGGGATTATTCCAGCAAGTTTGGGCCTCCTGTGTCTAGATACCTTGAGTCTGTGTTGTATCCACTCCAGGACCCCCTCCACAGCCTGTGTTCTGAGAGGAGCAGGGCTCTCACCACCGGAGGTGGGACAGAGGGGTCCCACGGGAGGAGGATTGCAATACCTGGCCATTTGGATTCAGCCATCAGTGTTGTGGGAGAGCTTCAGGCAGCAGCTGTGACAGACATAAAGTGAATTGTAGCACAATGCTAAAAGTGTTTATCAGATACTTTATAGGTTTCTTGTTTTTGTAAATGCTTGTCTTTGTCAATGGACACAAATAATGAGTTTGTTCTCCCTTCCCTGTGTCTCAGGGATCTGCACAGAGGGAGCTGCTTTGTCAAAAGGAAAGGGCTGGCAGACTCAGCAGGATTTCAGGCCAGGCCACAAATACAGTATAACCATGCTGTAAGGAAATTTTTCTTGGTGAATTTCTGTGTTTTGTCTGCCTTAGTAACAGATGCCATTATTTGTTGACAAAAACTGACATTTTACATCAGTAATGAGATGAGTAGATTGACAGACTGACTCCTGCCTTGAATTCTTTTGCTTTCTGATGTGTATCTGGACATGATGTTGCTGGTGTTAATTTTCAGTTTGTTTGTTCATGCTGGTTATCTCTTGCTAAGCTAGATGACATTTTTTCTTCCATGTTTTAAGCTTGGGAATCACCTTGAAATGATGTAAGGGTTTCTTATTTAATTTCCTCCTCAGTCTGGCCCACCCTGCCCCAGAAAGGACCAAAGGGCTCTTCTTGTGGGTGGCCTCAGCAGCTAGAACCTCTCAAAATTGCTATTTGCACCAAAACTGGGGTCAGATCCAAGGATGGATCTGACCATCTACAGGCCCAGCCATTTCAGTCCCATTCAATTTCAGGTGATTTTATTTGAGAAGCAGTGTGTCTCCTCAATGAGGAGATTTAATGCCACTGTTTTGACTTAAGAAGCAAGACTTCTTTTGCCATGGCTTTTTTTTTTTTTTTTTTTTTTTTTTTTGGCAATTGTTTTTCTTTTAGTAAATGTCATCAGCTTTTGTGCTGAAATCTGCCCACTGTCAGACAGATGTGGGTCTATGGAATTTTGTAAGTGGTCTTGGATGTTAGAAGAATGAGATTTATTTAGTTTATTCTCTTTTTTGTACAGCCTAGTATGGAAGTTACCTTCTTTGTGCTGTATGAATGGCAGTGTGATGGCATTCACTGCTAAATGTGGAATATGTATTTTTTTACTTTTTGTCCTGACTCAAAAACCATCACATTATTGTTCTATATGAGTGAGAAATGCTTGTCTCCTTGTGTTACAGGTAAATTTTCATTTTCAATTTCCTTTTTGTCACTTCCTAGATGTCTTTAATGTATTCCAAGGATTTTGAAGATTATGTTAATTTGGTTCACCCACGGAGTGTCCTTTGTTGGTTTGTTCTGGAAAGCCTCTTACTCTGTCTCTTGGTGTGAACAATGGTCTGGTCCTCTGGTGTCCTTGGTCAGCAGGTTTCCATTGTCACTTTTGTGACTTGCCTTTTTTTGAAAACAAGTTAGAAAGACTTTGTCAGTGATAGTTTATTGTCACCTTCCTCTATCTGAGTGCACACAAACATTTGGGTGATTTGCAATGCCTTTTCCACTTTGACTGCTGTTGGTATCTCTTGCTTACACTCCCAAGCTGTCTTACAGGCCATCAAGGTAAACCCTTGCAGAAACAAACTTCAGAGAGGGCAGAAAGGTGGTTTGTTCTGGTACTGGAATTCAGAGAGAAAGCTGGGCCATGAGCTCATTATCTCTGGTGTTCAGGGCCCTCAAACTCCTTCTCAACCCTTGGCAGCAAGTGGCTATGTCATACTCAAAATACAAATATTAATATATTTTATAAATGTTAATGATTTCAGAAGAACCATGGAAATTCTTAGTGCCTGTATGAATGGCTAATCCTCCTTTTAGGTCTGGTAAAACTGTTGACCCCACTGATCCTTTAAGTCAGTGAGCAGCTCAGGCTAATTACAAGTAATGTTAAAAATTTGCTTCCCTGAAGTTTCAATATTCAGCTTTTGTCTTTAATATCATTTATCTCTTCCTGTGTAAGATGCCTAGAAGGAGATAAACACAACCATATTTGGTATATAGACTGAAAGTCCTTTATGCTTTTTTGTTGGACTTACAGGCAGGAAACCCTAAACTGGAAATGAAAAAGTGAGGGAGAAAGAAAGATGCCACTGAACTAGTAAGATTACCTCATTTTGTCCTTTAAAATATCATTCTGGATTTTTCTGATAAAAAAATAGTTACAAAGCATTTTATTTCAGTGTCAACTTTGTATTTCCAGAAAATCTGGGGGTTGCCAGAATTGCTACTACATTGGTGGGCATTAAAAGATCTGGGGTCCCACAGAAATTGCTCCAGCACATTCAGCAGCAGCTGAATATGTGGCAGCCAGTCTGCAGCAACACAAAGGTGAGATCTGTGTCCCTCTTGGCTGATTGAAGACATTGGATCTAGCTTTCAGTTCATTTGGTAGTTAAAAAGTTCTTTGTGTAACTGAGATTTGGAACAGTCGTGTTCTCAGGATCTCTCTTATCCTTTATTAGTGTTAGTGTCTCATATTCTTTTGTGAAATTTTTACTGCCTGTTAGGAGATTGTCATTGATTTCACATAAAAATAATTGGTCATCTTTGCTGACTCATTTGCAAGCAAGGAAACAGCAGCAGCAGAATACAGAGTTTTTGTCCTTCAATCACTTGTTTACTTCATTCAGTGACCTTGTGTATCTTGGTTAATGGGCACATGAACAGGTCCTTACTGCAGTGACATATTTTTCTGTTAGCGTGAGACGAAGAGTTAGAGTAATCCATTGGAATTACATCCCCCTCAAGAGCACAAAAACCATCTAGATGTTGAGAATCAAACTCATTTCCTTACTGTGGGCATGAGAGAGGAGGAGAAAAGAGAGACAAGAGAGAGAAGATGTACAAACCTTATGGTTTGGGGAAGATTATCTTGTTTGTCCTGAAAAAATGAGTTTGTTCCTTCTAATTCCATTTGCACACAGCCCATAGAAAATACTGGTGGCAGCCCTCCACCATGGGTCCAAAGCATCTCAGTCAGGTCACAGAATCTAAGTGAAGTCTGAAGATAATGAAGTCCAGTCCATTTCTCAGAGCACAGCTTATTTCAAATGTAAACTGGCTTGTTCTAGGCTTTGTCCAGCCGAGTTTTGAGTATTTCCAGGGTTGGATATTCCTCTATGTCCCTGGAATCCCTGTGCCCCCCACAGGAAGGGATTTTTTGTCCCTTGCACTCAAACTACAAAGTCCTTTTCTACAATTAATCCCCTCCCCACCCTGAGGGAAGTCTTTGTCTGTCTGCTCAACTGGGGAGCTGAAGACAGCACTTAGAACACCCTTGGTTTTCTCCTCGTAGTCCTTTACTCCAAGCAGTTCAAGACTGTTCCTTCCTGTCACCCAACATTTATTGCTGTGTTGCTTTGGAAGGGTACTGAGTCCTCTGCGTTTGCCTGTTCTCACAGGGCAGTGTGGGCTGCCCCTTCGGTGTGCTTGCACAAAGGAGCACAAGAAAATGTTTCTGAGAGTCAGAGAGACTGAGTATCTGGAGCTCAGGATGAGCTCCTGTCCAGTCAGGACATGCAGCTTGCAATTGAAATGTACTTGTGCCTTGTTATCTGCTGCAATTTTTTTTTTTTTTCCATCTCAATTCTTCCTAATCCATATTGATTTTATCCTTTATTCCTATATCCTTCCCTGATTTTTTTTTTTTCCCAGATATTACCCTGTTTGGAAGGAATGGGAGCCCACTAAATGAAAGGGAGCTCTGCCTGTATTTGATTTGGAAAGAGTCAATCACCTTTGTCTTCATGGAGTGTTATTTGATTAAGATGATGCAGAAGTTGTCACAGATAGTTGTCTGGGTGGGGTTGAAGGGTAAATGTATTTGAGGCCTATGGACAGGCAATAAAATGAGCTTTCCCTGCAGAGTCTTTATGCAGTTGGGGCCCATTCCTTCTCTACCAGCAAAGAGGTGACAGTGATTACATAAGGTCAAGGAAGCTTCGCAGCCAAGGTTTGTGTGTTTTTCCTGGCAAGTGTAAATGATCATGAGATCAAGGCTTATCACATTGATGGAAGGGAAAAAAATATATGTTCACATACAAAGAGGCTCAGCTGCTCTGCCTGGGAAGACCTTTGTAGCTTTGGGAAATGTTCATTCAAGCTCTTGGAGTCTCAGAAGCAATGCTACCTGCAGTGGAAGAAATGGGATGTTATAGGGATATATATCTCAATGTAAAGTACCACTAGGAGCCCAGAGTCTGGAGTTCTCTGTGTTTGGGATAGTCCACAACTCTAGATCCATTCTGTAGCTTGCTGAATGCATTTCTTGTGCTGAGATTTATTAGCCTGAGAAATCAACTCCTGTGGCTCTTTAGCAATGGCAAAAGCAGAACATTTGTATAATTGTGAGTTCATGCTTTAGGTGGAATCACTACCTGTGCTTCAGCTTGCTATCAGAGATGGAAAAGCAGTCCTGAAGCTTTACTGTATTAAAAATTGGTGTCTGAAGAAGACTGTCCAAATGTTACTTTATAAATATATAAATAAATATTATATAAATAAATATACACATGTAGACAAACATTTCCATAGCAATGTTTTTCAAAAATATGTTCTCTTTGTATCTTGAGTAATTACACCAATCTGCATGCAGTTTCTTTCTGTTTATCTTCTAGTAAATTCACCAGATTCTTCCATCACAATACCATGACAGTATTTTGGGTCTAATGTTCTGTGGCTTCAGAATTATCACCTGCACGTATATTTCAAAATAGCAATTCTACTATAAAGTCCTCCTGCAGGGAGCTATTGAGGCTTTCATGACCTCATTTACACAACAATGAATTCCCAAATCTCATTCAGCCAGTGTTTTCTCTGTGACTAAATATTTCAGTCACCCATCATAGAGGATAATTTTCTGAAGTTAAAATGGTATGGGAATAACTGTTACAATTAAAGGTATAATAAACTATTAAAGCTGAACAAAAGAACTAGTGCTTTGGTGAAAAACAACAGTAAGTTTTAAAATGTATTGTTTCTCCTGCTTGGCCCATATGACTGCTCTATACTGTCACAGTAGAGATGGACAAGGACACCTGTTTCTTCTTCCACAATAGCCCAATCTGCACACAGGTTACATTGATATGGTTATCAGAAGGCACTGTGCTTAATTCCAGTTTGGTTAGGAACTAAGTTCACTGGTTGGTAATGGTGAGTGTACATGTCAATCCAAACTTTTCTGTCCAACAGTGTTGAAATACTTTTTCTACTGGTTCTCATGGGACAGGTCCCTTGTTATTACAGGTGCACTTGTTTTTCTCCCCAAGAATAGTTTGTTATGCTAACAAACTTTTCATTCTCAAGATGTTCTTGCATGGGAACTTATCAGGCTATCTGCTAGCTATACTTAGCCAAAGTAACAAGATCTGAACCATGATTTTACAAGGCCTTTATTTTGTAAGGTTTTACCTACATGTGACACTGTACAAGCCTCAGTGCTGGGGCTAAGCTTGGAATGGCAGCTTCCTTTTAATTTGTGGATTCCATCAAAGGCACCAAACCTTCATTTAAAAGGGGAATTCCCCTGAAAACTCCTATTTCCAAAATAAGAGCCCTAGTATTCTTTTTTCTATTTTCCCTGAATTATACTGAAGACATATCACTGCATGTCTTCTAAAATGTGGTAAATTGGGCACAGGGGCAAGGTAATTTCTGAGAACTATTGAGGCAGATTTTGATTCTTTCACGATCCCAGCTTACCAGAAAGTTCCTATTTGAAGAAGAAGGGGAGTTTGTGTGGTCACTGCTAACAGGAGCTCCTTGTTGGAATTGCTGCCAGTGAAGATGTTTGAATAGTAATTGATCAAAATTAAATAAAACACCTGTGAAAAAGTGATGAGACTTTTTCTCTTGCTAAAATACATTAAGCCAAGTGTAATGGCTGTGGTTTCTAGAATAAACTCATCAAAACTAATGAAAGCATAGTTCAAAGAGACATGGTTGCCTTAATTGCAGAATCTGTCTTAATTGTTAAGTAAATGTTTTCTAAACAAGGCAGTCGATCTATCAGAGTCTTGTTTGATCCCCTCTTTCTTGGGTAACAGTTCAATGTGTCCTTGGACCCAAAGCTCTCTAAAATGTCCATAAAGGAAGGAAATACTTTGATTGGAAAATGAAAAGGGTTTACTTTATATTTGGAAATGAGACTTTCCTTTTATCTTCACACAAAAAGGAGCTGTGTGAGTTTATGTGACTTTTAAAATTGAAGAGTCTTTTACAAATTAAGGCTTAAATCCTTCCAGAAAATATGCCAAATATCTCAAATTCTTTCTCATATCATATATTGCTAGTTCTGTTGGTTGTTCCTTTAATTATTTACTTGTCCTCCTCAATACTGTTCTCTTGAGTTGATTAATACCAAGACTGCTGAGTATCACAGAATTGTTGAGGTTGCGAAAGACCTTTAAGATCACAGTGTGAACACTGAAAAGGAGGAGGAGAGAATAATTATTCATGCAAGATATTGTCTTCATGATGTATACATTAAACTTGAGTTAGCTAATTTAGCTGAAGGTTAAAATTTAGCAAGTGTTCCTATTTCCACAGTTGCTGCACCATGCCTACACAAGCTTTGACGCAGAATTCACTTATTTTTCGAGCCAAGTCAACAGATCTTGCCATGGTTTTCTCATCACATTATTTTAAGGGTAGTTTTTTATAAAAAAAATTATTTAAGCACTTAGTAAAGAGCATTGTGTGAATATTGTTTAGGCTTTGTTTTGTTTGTTTTGGCAATGAAGGATGCTTGCAACCTGCCATGCTTGTAAAAGAGATGAGGTAGCTAAGGAGGGAAAAGACATCCTCTAGATTTAGCATTTGACTTGGGAAATGACATAATAGCCCATCAGCTCTTCAGGCATCAAAAATTATGTGATGATTCCAGCATCCAAGTATCTCTGAGGAACTCCAGTTAACTGACAAGTTTTGTTTCCTTCATGTGAACAATTAAATATTAACTAAATATTTTTAATAAACCCTGGAAACATGCTCTATTCTGCTTGAAAACAGTCTTGGAATAACTATCATACTTAATGATAAATTCCGATAGTTTTATAATACATTTGTAATCTTGTATTTTTTAGAAAAATAATGTTGTATTTTGTAGACCTGAAGGGTACTGTGAATGCTTTGTGCTTGGTGCAATCTGAAAAGGTAAGATTTTACAGAATAAATCCAGGTGAGGAGAAGAGCTGTCAGTAGCTGATAAATGTGGTGTACTTTGCTAAAGAAGAGAATGATGTCTGAGTTTTGCTCCTGACTAGTTAGGTTTGGTGTCAGCGTTGTGAGTGGCCTGAAAAAGAGGTTTGCTGGGATTTTTGTTGCAGCATCTAAAGTGAACCCTCTCATGGAAGCAGATATTCTCCAGTAAGAATGTATTGCTGTCAAAGCTCTGCAGTGGATATCCCCTTGGCACTGGATCCCTGCATTGGCTGTCATTGCTTCAATTCAAGTTTTGGAAAGGTGTTTTCTATAGAGTTTGCAAAAGCTGTATTTATTATCAGCACCCAGCTTAAGATTGTTCCTGGAACTTGTACCCTATCTTTTTGGAGAGTATTTAGCCAGATTACTCTCTTCCATCTCCAGCATTTTCTCAGGCAGGGAATATGAAAACACTGAACCTCTGGGCTGAGCATGGGGTCAGTACCCAGGAGATGTTTCAGAGATGCCTTTAGCAGGGATTTAAGGCCATGTGTGACCCCTGTGGAGCCCTGTGAGAGACCCTTTCCTCTATATTGACCAGTGAATGGTTGTGGAGGAGGCCCAGTCCTCTGACAGGCTTCCTCCTTGGAGATCTATCCCCTAAGATAAGATAAAACCACCTAGTCATGGTGACTAAGCTGTGGACCCCTTCCTGCTTTGGGACCCCATGTTATCTCCCTGTTAACTATTGGTCACCTAATCCCAGTCGTAGACCATTGGTCCCTTTCCCAGTTCTCCCTTTCCTTATAAAAAGGCTGGCTTTTGCCCAGTTCAGTGGATGTGACCGTCACTGGCCCCTTCACTGCAGCCTGCCAACAAAGACTCTGTGGAGTGCTGCACCGTCTGCTGCCTCTTGCCTGTGTGCTGGCTGGGGTAACCCATGAGCAGAGCTGGGCTGATCTGAGCTGATCACAGAGCCAAAACCACTTCTAAAAGAGCTGATCAGGTGAAGTCTCAGACCACTCCTAAGGGTAACCTCTGGCTGGAAACTGCCTGAAGCTCTCTGGATGGCTGTTCATTCTTGGGACTTCTATCTGGGATCGTTGGTGGCAGAGCTGGAGGTTGGACAGGCCCCCAGTCCCAGCCTCTAAAAATGGTCACAAGGACAGGGCACAGCCCTGTCTTAGCCCTTCCATTTTCCAAATGCTGGACTCATCATGCAAATTCAAGATTTGAGAATACGAAGCTGATGGGGCCTGGGTTTTCTGCTCTTCATTCAAGGAGAGGCATTCAGAATTTGGATATGTCTATGAGCAGGTTTTCCTTTCCCACCCATTGCTAGAAGTGAAGGAAACCAGTGCCTAGATCAAAACACTGATTATTTCCTGAGCTTGATGGAACCATTGTAGATCAGAATTCCTTTGGTCACCAGTAAAGCATTTTGCTGGTACAAGTGTTCTTAAGACCTTCAGCATTCATTAACCCTTCAGATTTCTTCTTCAATAGTATTTTATTCCATGATTTTATTCAGGCTGTGTCAGTTTCTATGGCATTTGGGATATTTTTTTGTCCTATCTCAAGCTATAGTTTTATTGTTCACCAGCACTCAGCAATAAGCTGAATATCCTGACTGTGACTAAGATGTTGTGACTTTGGTTTTAACTGGCATTGTACTAAGCCCCTAATAAATTTCCATGCTTGATTCTGTCAAAGCAGCATTGCCTGTGCACATGAGGCAGAGTTAAAAATGTTATTAATATAACAGCACAAGAAGACAGAAACCAACCTCCTGTGTGGTTGGTGTAGCCCAGCTGAGTGCTTCACATTGCTTCACAGCAATGAGGGAATGGCATCTGCCTCTGTGCTTGTGTTCTGTGGTGTCACCTAGATGGATCTGAAAGGTAACTTGAAACAGTCACTGTGCTCAGAACAGAGGAATCCTCCAATTGCACACTGAACATTAAACATCAGTTGCTGTGGATGCTGTCAAAGGCAGAGCAAGAACAGTTCTGCTCTGCAGATGAGATTTTCCAGTGCTGCACATGGCCCAAGAACTGGAGCTGATTAACAGGTGTGCTCTAATTGGGACTCGTCTGTGGTTTTGCTGTGCTTGGGTCATGTTTAGTTCTTCAGTAAGGCAAATTGTTAAATGTTTTATTACCAGTTTCATCCCTTTCAGTTGCATCACACTGAGAATTTGCTGATGACAGCTGTTGATCAGAAATCTTAGTGTTTTCTCATCCTTCCTCTGATACAGTGACACAGAACTTAAAAAAAATACAAGGTTCTTAGTCACATAAAGTGGCAGTGGTATCTTGCCTTTAATGTCAATGCCTTTCCCCAAGCCAAAGAAACAAGAATTTGCCCCCTCTGTCATTCTAAAAGTTATCTTAAAATCTTGTATTGATTCATTACATATTTGTGTGGTACTTGTTCTACAATCCCTTCACTGACTTATTTTTTCAATCTCAGAAGAGCTCTTGTACAGATAATGCTGCACACAGTTTCCCTAATAAGCTACACAAGCTACTGTGAAAGGATTTTGCAGAATCATGCTATAAATCCCTTGAATAGGTGTTATTGATTTCTGAAGAGGTCTTGCTGAAAAAGGAATGTGCTGTTCAGGTCTCCAGAGGTGTTGCTAAAAGGACAATAGCACTGGAGAAGCAACAGCAGGAGAAAATCGATTCCTTGGCTATTTTTTGTTTGTTTGTTCTCAGTGAGATTATATGGGGGAGAGGAGATGGATTGAGCTATATTATTTCAGCTGGGCTGAAAGTTGCTTTCTTTTTATGTTGAGTTATTTGATATGCCTGAAATCTGTGGGTGTATGTGGCAAACAGACTCTGCTTGTCAAGCTCTGAAGTGTGTGAGCAGTGGCTCTTACACAGTCAGCACACATTGTCTTCACCAAAGGAGTTATCCAACCATGTGCCAGAGTTACTCCAGGGAGGAAGGAGTTTGTCTTATTCTGCCATCACCTCTGGTTTAAGACCAGGCTGTATTCTTCTGCTGTCAGCTGGTGGGTTTTTTTGTTGTGTTGTTTTTTTTTTTCAAATGAAAGCATAGGAAAGGAATTGTGTTTGTAGAAAGTACCCATACTATTCAGAGTTATGCTTTCATCAGACCTGCCAGTGGCTTGTATTCACACTTGTATGCTGACAAATAAGAGGAGGAGAGTTAAAAAAAGAAATTGCTGAAAAAGGAAACGGAGGAAGAACCCAGGAAAACTAGGCTAAAAATCCACCATTACTTTGTTTAAAAACATCTCAGATGTGCTGATGGCTGGAGCTGGTTTCCATTTTGGTATTTTGAGAAGCAGTTAATTCTCATTCCTCCATTCCAGAAACAGTAAAGGTTTAAAAATGATTTTTAAATGAAGCTGTAGCTCATTGACCTTTTCATTTACCTGCTCCCGGTTGTTCTCAAGCTCAGTAGTTGTTGCACTTCTTCCTTTATCTTTGGAAAGACAGTGTTATCCTCAAAGAATATGTTTTATCAAAGAGATGTGTTCTAGCTGTTTCACTTTGTATTGTGTTCTTTACATCATGTATTCGAGCTTCTGTCCATAGGAGCAGATTTTTGTGCGTATTTTAATTTGTGGTCTTTGGGACTAGCAAGAAAATAGCACCTTTAAAAATCTTCTAAAAGATCTGCAGTATTTTGGAGTCTAATTTCAAGGAATGGGGCATTTAAAACCTTGAGAAACCCTTCTCTCCACTCAAAGGCACCTGATGATATTTCTAGGCTGGTCCTTAGTCTCCACTAGAAGAGCAATGCTCCAATTCACACTGAGAATCCAGTTTAAAATGTTGCTGTTTCACAGATGATCTTGTCCATCTCTAATCCCTGGCTGTAGTAATGAAAGAGGATGAAACATTTTTTTCTTGTATAAAAACTGTCCAGAAAACTTTTCTCTTTTATTAACAGCTGTCCTGTAATAGCTTTCTTGAAAATATCCACCTGCTCTCAGATTTCTACCAGATATTTTTCTTTCCTTTTCTGTCCTCTGAATTTCAGCAGTCTTACTTCAATGTTACCAATATACAGACTTTTTTCTGTCTTCTTTCTTCCCCCATCCTCACATGTGTACATTCCATAAAGTATTTTGAGTGAAAAATAGTTTTTCAAATGATGCTATCTTGAATTTTGTATTTTTCTTTTATATATTCTCTGTATTCTGTACACTTTTTATATTTGTAGCTTTGTAGTCTTTTATTGTAACTTAGCTTCAGTATTTTCCTAGGCAGAAAGACAAAACACGTACCAGGACCCCTATGCTACCTTGGTTCTCCTTAGAAACCAAGGTTGAAACCAGCTCTTTGAGACATATTTTTTATAAAGAGATCTTAGACTCCATGTGAGGGGGGAGGATTTAGAAGGTGCTAGAGCTGGGGGAGATTACTTCACTGGGCATTCTTCTAATGAGGGACTCTAGTCAAATATGCTAACTTGTGAAGTCTATGAAAATTGTACACGTGTTATGTGGGCATCTTTGGCACTTTCTGCCTGACAAATTGCACACCTAAGGATCCTTATATAAAGGTAACCCCTTTTTATCACTCTAACTTGTGTCTTGTAGCAGCTTGGGTCAGTGGTCTGGGTGCCACAACCTTCCTAGAGAAGCATCCTTAGATGGACATCCTGGAGGCACAGGCACGTCTGCAGCTGCTCTGCATTTTCAGCTCTGAGCCCTGAAAAGGGCTGTTGAGTGAATTCAGCTCTTCAGGTGACACGGAAGGAAAGAGACAGAGCCTTCATAGGGAATCCCTTGGGAGGTTTTATTCAGCTCCTTCCTCTGAGGAGTCCTGTGATGAAAAGCCATGAAAAGTCTCTGGGGAGTCAGAGGAAAGAGGGGTGTATATCAATTGAGGGTTCAGGGGCAGTGCAAACGAGAAGAACCAGTGGTATTCATAGAATCTGCATGGGGTACACAAAATTCCCATGGGCTGCAAGACATGTTGGGGGGGGCAGGGGCTGACTCCTTTCTCCTTTTCACGACTGCAAAGGCTATTAGCTAGGGTTTCTCCCCTAGGGGGAAAAAGGCAAGCTGGAGCCTAAGGGCATTCTCTCCAGGGAAGAGTGGTTACACTGTTGGCCAACTCAACAGCCTCCACAGTGTCTGGCTCATGATTCTAGGTCCAGAGAAAAACACATCACAACTTGACTCAAACCTATTCTGGAAGGAAGCAGTCCATTTCCATTGCCTAGTTTCAGGTGCATCTTGAGAAGAGGGAATGAAGGAGTCAACCTGTTCTTTCTTGGTAATCTTTCCCCAACTCTGTTGAAATTGTAGGACTAAAGAATAATTGAGGTGGGAAGAGACTTCTGGGGGCTCCTTCTCCAACCCCTTGCTTAGAGCAATCCTAATACTTCAGGTTGCTCAGGATCTTGTCCAGGTGAACTCTGAATATCCAAGGATGGAAATTCCTCTGTTGGTCTGAAGCCCTGCTCCAGTGTATGACCTGAGGTAAAAAAAGGTTCCCTTGTTCTACCTTGTGCCTCTGGATCCCTGGCCTTTACCTGCACACTTAGTGGTGTCTCAGACTGTCTTCTTTACCCTGCCCCAAAATGTAGCAATGCATCTGAACAGCTTGAGTCATAGTGTGCACCAGCCAAACTGTCTGTAGGGTTTCTTAGCAGACCCTCTGGAATTTCTCAAGGTTGCTCAGACACAAGCTGTTCTAAAAATAAGAAAGAAGAGGCTGAGAAACAAGAAAACAAGACCACAAGGGTCAGATAACAGAGGACAGCTGTACACCTGGACTGTAACCAGTTCTGTGCCCTGAGGGGTGCGTGCAGAGAGCGTGGACAGGATAGGGGCACCAATGAAAAGATGCGTGAACAGTAGTTTTAGAATGTATAAATAAGTGCATAATGTAAATAATAAATAGCTTCTGCGAAATCATATTGGTTCATTGTTCAGAGGTCCTGAACTCCTGCACCAAAAGGCAACTAGTTTGAACAGACAGGCACAAGCTATGTTAAGGCAAAGAGTAATTTTGATTAGTTTCACTTCATAAGAATTCAGCACAGTTTTTTCTGAAATTCTACAGTGCTTTTTAAAATTTGTTTCCAATACTGCTATAAGTAGCAAACACCTGCCTGATAATGGAAGGTCAGCCTCTTATAGAGGTAATGAAATACAGAGAAGTCCCTGTTTATACAGTGCACCTCCAGGCAAGCTGTTAAAGAAGATTTCACTTATCACATTTAATATTGACATTTAATAATGGCATTAATATTGGCACTTATACAAACAGTTAGTAATAGTTCAAGGAAAGCCTTTTTCCATAGTACTGAGTATGTGACAGCCCCAGACTGTTAGCTGAGAAAGGTTGTGTGATAACCAAGTGTGTTGTTAGGTGAACACAGCTGAGTGGCTGTGCAGATGGCTGTATCATACATTTGAGAAGGGGACCTGTAGGAAAGAGTTCTAACAAATTAACAAATTAATATATTTACAAATTAACAAATGACATAACAGAACGCTCAACATAGATGTTCAAAAGGAAATAAATTTGCCAAGGACTAAGAAGGTTAGCAGTCCATATGTCAGGTTGTCCTGGGGTGACTTTGTGATGCTGGTATTCCCATAACCTGTCTTTTTGCTCAGAAATGTGTCTTGTAGCTTTAAGCTTCATGCTGTGTTCAAAACATAGAGATAAGAGTTCAGCTTTCTCAGAGCTCATGGCAGTGCTCTCTGAGCTCTCTGCTGCAGAGTGACAGAGAGAAATGGGGAGCTTTCCTGGAGTTTTTTTGATGGTTTCCCTCATTAGCTATAGCTAGAAAGTTTTTTCCAGGACTGTTTTTTTCTGGAACTGTTTGGCTTCAGTCCAGAACACCAGGACTGGCTGCCTGCCTTCCAAGCTGCTCTGAGGCCTGGACATCAGGTCCCAGCCCCAGAGGGACTGAAAGGGACTGAGCAAACTGGGACACACCCCACAAAAGGACTCTTTCTGAACCACTGAAGGAGTTTCTGAATTTGCCATCTCTTCGGAGCAACAGGAGGTTTTATTGTTTAATATTATTAATTTTCTTATGTTTGTGAGCACTTTGCTTGTTAAATAAAGTTTTTTCCACTGTTCTCCATGGAGATTATCTCCTGAACTGGTTGGGGGAGGGGCCACTGAAATCTGCTTCCTGGAGTTTTCCTCCCAAAATTTGCCCTAAACCAGGATACAGGTGTACATAATTCTTCCAAATCCAGCTCATTTTCCCTGCCTTCCCCTGGCATGTCACAGTCATCATTCTCATGCTCCATTACAGGTTGTCCCATGGCATTTCCCATGGGGGCTGGCTACCTCCGTGCAAGGTCATACAAGATGCAGAGTCTGAATGTGACTGTCAAACCCCATAATTTTGCTCATATCACTGTCTTTGTACCATAAGAAGCTGCCTGTGGACTTGATGCCTTTTCAGCCCTAAAATCACAAGCCAGACAAGATTAAAATGATGAAAAGTGGTTTATTGAAGGTCCTCCAGGTATGCTTATGGCAGAGTGCACATGTGATATAGGTCTTCAGCACTTTTACACATTTAGCAAATTAGCATAATTGACAAGAATCCCCAGTTTGAAGTACAGTTAATGAAGCAATTCCCCTCTTGGTTCAGACCCCTATTGGAGCCTCCTTGATTCTAGCACCACGTTGTTTATGTCTACATACATGGGAATGTTGTTGGTTTGCTGAAGAAACAAGATTAGAATAAGATTTCAGCAATGTGTTTTGTCTAACAAAGTACTGGACTTAGCTTAAGAAACTATATGATTATGCAATAGTAGTCTACAGAGCTACAAATATATAAAATATATATAAAAAGAAAAACATTTTGGCATCAGCCTTGCCAATACTTTTGCTGTTCCAACAGGTGCTACTGATGCTGCTTGAAAGCTCAAGTTTCTTGGCAATGTAATGACAGTCACAGCCTGATGAAAATGTGCATTTCGGATGGTTTTCCCTTGTGAACTTGTCTAAGTTCCACATCACCTTTTGAAAAAAAATGAGTGGAGGTGAGCCCTGGCTTCACTGCATAGACCCAGGAGCAGGAGTCATATGAGCTCTCTGAGTGGGTGCTACCCACGGAAATGGATTTTGCCCTGCAGGTCTATCTCAGGGTTAGATGCCAAACTGCTCTTTAGTCTTCAGTTGGAGTGTCTAATGATGCTTTGGCTGAGGGATTGTATTGGGTTTGTGAACAAAGTTTCATGACACATTTACCTTCTGTCTCCTGTTGCTTGCTGTTTGTGTGGTTTGGGAAAGATTCTGGAATATTCTCTTACTGCTTCTTCTGATTGCAGGTGGGTATGTGATAGGAATGCACCTGCCTTGGTAAATCAAATCTTGTACCACCCCTCAGCAAGTATCATCAATGGAGCTACGCTGTCTTCACATTTGACAGCATAAAAAGCACTGATTGCATAAAAAATTATCTAAAACTTCCTCAGAGTTGGTGACAGGGAAACATGAGCAATATTTGAAGGGGTTGGAGATTTTTTCAGATTTTGATCTGTACTAAAATTGTAATGAAACATTAGCTCTGGAAAGTAGAGTCAGACTCCATCTGCTTTTTAATGAATTTGCATATCTGCAAAGAAATACAAATAGAGTTGTGCAGAAAACTTATTTTTAATGTGTAAACATACACGTGATAGAGATTTGGACTGAAACTGGTTTTAGCCTTATGGGCCACATAGCTTCAGAGAAAAACTAATGTTGTTGGTGAAGGTCCTTATATTACAACTTTTCTTCAAAGGATGGGCTTTAGTCGAGTCATAAATCTGGCATAGCAACACAGCTTTATTACAGAGAGTAGAGTAATAATTTCGGTTTTTAAAAAAATCTAATTTCCATTTGTGGTGGAAGGTTTACATGTAACTCTTGAGAAATACTTATTAAAAGCCATCCCAAAAACACACACAGAGCCAAACCAAGGCAACACCACCTTGGTGGACTGGTTTTATGCTTTATGTTAAGTTTTGAAGTTATGCTTTCTTTTCTGGTTATTTCTCTATGTGCAGCTTCCTGAATATACCACAACCACACAAAAGCTGCGCCTGATGGCCTCTGATCTGAAAACACTGCAGCAGGAAATCTCCTCTAGAGATTTATTTGACAGAATGAGGTGAGAAAGGAGACCTCTGCTTCTGTGTTGGCCTCTGGCAGTAAATTTGTTACCCATGTTATGCTTAAACTATGAACTGGATGATGTCTGAAAAGTCAGTGTTGATCCCTGATCTGGCAGAGTGAATGTGGAGGAAAGTCATGTAGAATCACTGGAATTGGGTGGAATGGCATCTTGGAGAATAGGATTTGGCAGTGACTCCACACTACATTTCCTGACTGCTGAACATTTTTTTTTTTTCCAGGCTAGGGATTAATTTAACTCTGCGTGGCTTTATGATATCCAGCTTCTGCAGTGCTTGTGGCTATGTGCTGCAATCATCCTTACTGGATCTCACTCTGGATGACTGCCACATTGCTGTCCCATGGGTTAGAAATATGCCTGCTTCCAAAAGCAAAAAACAATAGCAGAATAAATAGACATAAATAATATAAAGATATAGAAATATATTATTTATATTTATATAGGTGTTGCTTATAGCTGTTACCTTCACAGAAATTGTGAAAAAAATGAGGTAATAGAATTAATAAGTAATTGTTGAGCTGTTTTGGTTTGTACATACCCCTGATTTGATTTGTACATATTCTTCCACACCTTCTCTGCTTTCTTCCCTCAGCAATTTTTTAAGGTTTAATGAATCTTTTGAAAATAGTCAGGTGAACCCCAGTTCACCTGTTTTGATCTGCAAACAGGAGGTTGAAATCCACATCTGTGAGAGTCAGAGTACAATTGAGTTTTTGTATGCCATAAACTCTTCCAGGGCTGCAAATGAACCAAACTTTTCTTTAGACACTCCAAATCCTCCATTTGGTACCTTGTATTCAGAAGGGACAGAGGAAAGACCAAATTCTATCTTCTTTATTTAATGGGCTTGATTTGGATCATACATCTCTGTTGCTTCATTCACTTCAGTAAAGAGTGCTTCTCTCTGATTTCAGAATTGGGACAGAAATTGATAGTGGTATCACAAAAAGGAAAATACTATTAGGAACTAACACTCTCAAGAAAAATTACACAGCCTGAGTTTGAAAATGGAACTAATTTATTCACCTGCTCCCTTGGCAGCAAAGCAGAAATGAGTGGAAAGGATGAGAAGTGATAAGAGTGATGAAAGTTGTGGCATCCTCCTGTGGGATGGCTGTTATAAAAATGTGCAGTCCGTTTTCTGACATGGAGTCACTACCTTCTGAGAAAGGTCTGGATTTCTAACATTAGGCTTAAGACTCAAGAAAAAAAATAAAAATTACATCTCTTCTGTCCTCTCCTCATTTCTGATTTGTATTCTGCTGCTTGGCTGTGGCTGTCAGCAACAGAATCATGTTAGATGGGTGGGGATCTCTATAAAATCCCTTATTCCAACTCTCCAGCTGGAAAATAAGCAAAACCCCAGTGCTGGAGGGTGCTCTGGGAGCACTTGCATGGGTGGGCTTTGTGCTGGTGCTCAGTGTGCAGTGTCCAGAGCTCAGACTGGGTCAGCTCTGTGACCGCTGGAGCTCAGCTTATGCCTAAAAATCCAAGGAAAATTAACCCCTCTGTCTCTGGCAATAGGTTCATCTGCTGTGCTTACATGCTTGTCGTGGTTTTAAACCAATAACTAAGAAAATTACTTATTTCTTACTGTGAGATATGGATTAGAACAAAAGCAAAACAGGCATAAAACTTAAAAGGGAAAAAAAAAGGTTTCTTGACAAACTACAATAATAAGAACACTAGAATAAACTTCCAGAAAAACCTTTTCATCCCCTATCTACCCACTATTCCCTTGCTCACATGACAACAGAGACAAAAACTTTGGAACTTTGATGGTTAAAACAGTCCCAATTCTTGCCACAGTCTTTTCACCAGTCTCTGTAGGGAAACAGAAGTTTCTTCCTGTTAATTTATGGAGTTTCTCACAAGAAAACTATTTTTGTTATAGTTTTCCATTGCCCTAATGTTAGCTGCCCAGAGCTGCTATTATTAGAGTTCACTCCTCCCATTTTCACATCACTCTGAAGTGTGTATGGGCCATGAGTCTAGGGATGGCATTTTTAAGGATAAGTTATTCAAAGGCAAAAAAGTCTTCTTCATCTGTTTCTGTGAGCTTCACTAGAAAACAGTTTTCTCATTGTCTCTCAAGGCTTCAAATCTCCCAACATGGCCTGGGCAGGGACGGGAGGCCTGGAGCTCCGCCACCCTCCACAGCCAGGAAACAAAGAGAACTCAGAGAGCTCTGCTTTTACACTTTAAGGTAGGGTTCACAAGTTGATCCCACTTTTCAATGGCCTAAACTGCTGTCAGTTCTCAGCAGTGACCGATAATTGGTCAGGAGAAAAGACTCCAAGCACTTCCCAGCAACTCCAACTCCCTTAAAGGTAAAGTAACTCCATGACAATGCTCAAATTAACTTGGCAAAAAGATTTACCCTGGAGGGCAGCAGTAGATTTTACCATGGCAGATAAAGTAGCAGACATTGCTGATTCTTTTGTACACACTGCACTTCCAGTGCACCTTCATCTGCTGAAGCAGACTAACTGCTTTCTTCCCTGACTGCAGCCTGGAATTGTTCAGGCTTGCCTGGTTTAAACTGTTTTTGTGAGGTTTTTGTTTCATGACACCTTATTGCTCCCTGACACCCACTGTTCTACCTGACTGCCTCAGCCTGGCTAGCATCTTTTCTAGTTTTGGCTCCTAGCAATAGGTCAGGTAACTCTCAGAGGTTACAGCATCTCCTGACTGACCAGGGACCTCGGAACATTTCCCAGCTCACACTTGAAAGCAGGAATTTATACAAAGGTTCCCCCTCAGATTTCTGGGTTCTTGACTTTTGACCCTGATGCTGGAAGCTATTGGCTGTGATTAGGAGGAGCCTGCACACAGACATGTGTGGGTGATTTGTGGTAAGTTCATACCTTATCAAGTAATTTTCTACTATATTATATATTTGTGTTATTGTCTGTAAAATATATATATATATATAAAAATAATATAAATAATATAATATTAATATAATATAATATAATATAATATAATATAATATAATATAATATAATATAATATAATATAATATAATATAATATAATATAATATAATATAATATAAATATTATATAAATATATATAACTAATATAAATATATATATATATATTTTAGTAAACTCATGAAAACAAGCATGTTAATGTCGGCCAGCTTGTCCTTTCCCTTTATCATTCCTCCTTTTCAGTAGATTCCAGCAGACCACTCTTCTATTTCTTGACTCTTTTTTCTTCCCACACTCTTCAAAATGAGAGGGATTGAATGGATTTTGCCTTATGCATACAATAAATGTATTTAAATAAGCAAAAGTTCAGCAGAATGAGGAGGGACAGAAAAGCATAGATTATGTCAGATATGGAAACCTGAGCAATCTGCATCAGGAGGTCTTTGTAAGACTCTGGGCAGAGTGGCAAACACCACATGCCATATCCTGTTTGTGCAGGGTGTGACCACAGCAGCACTTGTCCTTGATTTTATGTTCTCCATAACATGGCAGTGCAGCTCAGAACAGTGCCCTCTAGACCCAGATCTCCTGCTTCAGGAAGGGTATGGGTCTTTTTAGGACATTACAGTTCAGGGCTCAGTGAGGATTCTTCTATCACTGGATAAAATTTGTGCACTTGGGAGACCAGTGAAGCTGCTACTACAAACTTCAGCCAGACCAGGGTGACACATACAAGTTTTAAAACAAATTTTGAGTTATCCTCAGTCTTTGCAGTCATATCCCCAGAAATCTGTGTTTTAGCTTCTTCCAGAAACATTAAGAACAGAAAGCTCTTTTCTTAGAAGCAAAGTTGGCTGAATGATGGAACCTGTATATGATGGTTTCAGTAAGGGAGATCCGCCTTCTCTCAGTTTCACTGGCATTGCTCCACATTATTGGTGTAATTCTTTCCCTCCTGCTTCTGTCTCATTTCGATGTCTTGCTGCATCTCTTTCCCGCTTCATTCAGCTTGGGGTTTTTCATCTCGTTCTGTGAATCCAGCAACTGCCAGGATCCTCAGAAATATTGAGCTCTTTCAATTTGAGCTGTAGCTTTTCCCATCTCACAGGGTCTCACTTTACCATTCCTCTGCTTTTGTAGTCAATGTTTGAGCAGTGACTGTTATAATTTTCTGTTTGTGCTGCTGTAACATTCAAAAACACCATGGAGATCGAAGTCTAGTCAAGCCAACACTTACAAAGCCTGAGTAAATGAGAAAATGTGGTATGTATCCCAAAGAGCTTTAATTCCTGTGTGATGGTTTAGACTTCTTCAAGGACTTTATATAAGGCTACCAAAATGTGAGAAGAAATTATCTAGTTTGATTGAAGAGAAGAAAATATGACAGTCTCCTCCCCTGTGGTTTGGGTCATGACTAGTATGAGCAGTGTCCTACCTCACTCCTCCTCTCCCAGTCAGCTTTAACATTTTGGAGCAAGCAATGAGAAAGTTTCCTGTGGCCTCAGAGTACCACCTATAAATCCAAACACTGTTACCTAAGAGTAGAGATAACTCCTGCATATAATTTAGAGGATAAGTGCACAACAGGACTCCTCAGTAACATAAGCCACATATGTTTGTCACTGCTATTCTATTTTTCTGTAACAGCTGTAGCGCTTTGTTTAATGGCTCTAAACTGCCTGGTTTTAGCTCAAAGTGGGCCTTTATTAAAATACTCAAACCCCTTTTGCTGTATTTGGAGATTATAGTACCCTTTGTAGATGTTTGCAGATTGCTAAATTAGGATACCAAGCAATTATGAAATGGAAGTGCTTTATGAATTTAATTTTCTGATATGAAAAGCACAAGCGAAAAGTACCAATATTAATACTGTAGAGTCCCCAGGATAATTCTGTAGAAGAAGGTTACTGGTAAATACTCCAAGTAAGCTCTGCAGGAACAGACTGGCTGTGCAGCAGCCCACTTGCCCCATCAAGACCCAGATCACTGAGAACTCTGTGGCCCTCTGTGAAAAGTCTCCTTTGTAAAAAGGTCTCTGAGCCATTCCTCCCTGTGCTCTTCTCATCATTCCACAACTGCATTCACAGCAAGGCACCATTGCCTTCTCGGCCTCATCTGCATCATTCAACACCCACCAGGAACGAGCCAGACAGGGTTTCTACAGGCAAACAATGGGGTCATTTAGGGCAGACTTCTTTCAAAGCAGGATCTCTTTTGTACCTTTGTATAGGGATCTCAGAAAGATGAATAAATAAATAAATAAATAAATAAATAAAATTTTTAAAATTTAAAAAAATAGTTGCTTAAAGACCTTCCCATTGCTATGGGTCTAGTGCTCAGATTCTAGGATATTGCTAATGGCAGTTGAAACCATAACATTTTTCTTACCTATTTTGTTTTCTTCCCTCAAGGTTTACATTTTCATTTTCTTTCATGTAGCAAATAAAGTCCCTGAAAGGGAAATGCTTAATAAACAGCCTCTGGTAAAGAGTATGGCAAAACTGCCATAATTCCTTCACTTTTAGGAACATGAAGATGGCATCACTGACTATTGTGTCTGTCAGCAAATTAAATAAAAAACCCAAACCAAGGTCAGGAAATTAAATTCATTATAAAGATAATGGAAAATTCTGATGTTCCTTGCTGCTGTAGTCATGCACACTTTAATTGTTTCCTTGAACAGTCAATACCTTGTAAAGGAAATAAACATCTTCTTAAGACACTGCTCAGTTTTCTACAGATACGTAGTGGTCTTTTTTACTGCCTTGAGGATCACTTAATGCCCGAGTTGGTGGGATTCAGGGAAAGTCTGCATGCATGGGTGCCATTGGCATTGGCCTGTTCTGGCTCTGCTGCAGTCTGCTACATAACCCTTCTGAAGCACATGGGAAAGATCCTGTGCCATAACTCCCCTGAACTGAAGTATTCCATGTCAGCCTGGCCTATCCCACAGTGTTGCATGTTGTTCATCTTTGCTGAGCAGGGGTAAACACAACTGAGATATTTGCATTGGAGGAGGAGGTGGCTGTGCATGTCGGTGCTAGGGATGCCAGGCTTTGGTGGAACAGAGCAAGGAGCTTAGAACAGATAACTTTGCCCCACTTCATTTATTAATCAGTTTGATTATTTTACTCTCTGGAGTTTTGCACATCAGATGTAATCAGGTTCCCTTAATAACCTGACAGGTCTGTGTGTTCAGTTATACAGGGCAACATTATTCATAGATCCTTCTAATCCCCATATAGACTAATCTTATTAATATTTATCTTCTAATCTATTTACAAATTCAGAGAAGGTAATCTCTGTCTAAATGAAGCTACTGTTCATATAGAGGTCTCTTCTTTAAAACAGTCATGGTAGCATTTAATATTATGAAAAGCTTAAAGCAAAAAAAAATGTAATTAATTGTGAAGCATCATTAACAATGATGGTGTCCAAAATGTTTGTGTGGCTGATTTTTAAGATCCCTTCCAGTCTGAACCATTCTATGTTGTCAAAACAAAAGGTAGGAGGGATAACAGCATACAGCAGATACCTCAAGTTAAGAAATACCCAACCACATTACTTCTTGACCTCCCTGTTTATGGTTGGCTACAGAAGCTGCCTTTTTAAATGGTCAGAAAGCAAAGTGCTTGGATCACCCGCCCAGGTCCCAAAGGATCCAGCATCTGCCTCCTTCCATCCATTTGTTTCAATCAATGGCAGCAGAGGAGTGGTGGGGGGAAAAACTAAGAAGGCATTTTGAAAAATCAGGTTGTGACCTAAGCATGACTGCAGCTTCTTCCAGTTCTGGGCACTGGATTTGGCTCCCAGTTTTCCTCCTGAAACATGAGGAACTGTGTCTGGAGAGCTAATCTGGAATATAATCACTGTGGACTAGTTGGAAATGTCTAAGTGGGTATTTAAGGGACTTTGGCACTCTTCAGTCCCTGTCAACAAGGGTTGTGTGAAGCATTAAGGCACACACAAGCCTGTCCCTGTTCAGTAAAGCACTTCAGGGTGCTTTTAAGTCCCTTGATTTCTACTCTTGGTTCTATCAGCAGGAGGTTTTTCAAAGGCAAGAGGCTGCCCTTATCTCACAAATGGGCTAAGCTGCCTTATGGCAACAGTCCTCAAAAACTCTTCATTATTCAAAATGCTAATGTTGTTCTCCCTCCTCTGCTGCAGTGGTCAATGCCTTTAAGACCATTCCTTTCGTACCTGTGCATTGGGAAATACTGTTTCTAATGATGTCATTCTGCTGTTTATTCCCTCAAACAGTCACTGAAAATGCTCTGTATTTTCCTCATACTAATGCATTTGCAGGTTGATGCATCCATGTCAATCATTACTGTGTTCATGTTCCTGCATCAGCTTGTTCAGGGCAGTTCTTCCAGGTGTGCACCAATGCAGCAAAGAAAATCTAATAGGTGTGAAAGCAGGAAAAAATGTCCCTCACATTGCTTCATAATATTTTGTACAGAAAGACACCACACTGAGATTTAAAAAATCACTTTTCTTGCAGCCAGGCAGAAACTCTTCTGCTTGTCTCCCTCTTTTCCTCTGAAAAGCCAGGCAGATTTTTGGGTGCAGGAGAAGGATGCCATGTGCAGGTTTTCCTGCTAACTGCCTTGGATTGAGGATGATGTCACAGATTTTTGATATTCAGGCATCATTATGGCAATCTTTTCTTATGTTCTTTATAGCCATGGCTAAAGGGTTTTATCTGATAATGCTGAACTGAATTATCTCTAAAAGTACCCATTTGTGAGATGGAAACCAGAAAGCAAGAACATCCCTCTGTATGCTGGGCAGGTGTCTGCTCTCAGGGTGTAAAATGGGCACTTCCAAGTTATTCCACTTAGTTTTGGAGCATATCATGGGTTTTTCTGCCAGGTTAAAGCACAGCAAGCAGGGAGGGATAACAAGAAAGATTAGGGATATGGAAACACTTCTTTATGAAAGAGCAAAGGGATTGATGCTGTTCACTACGGAGAAGCAGCAAATAAGAACAGATCTGAAAAGGTCTCTTACCATTTGTTACTGTGAAGCCCAGAGGGGCCCCTTGCCTTTGCTCCTTCTCCCATGGTAGCAGGAGCTGGAGATATTAATTTAAAATGAGAGACCTTACACCTTTTTAAAAGGAAATTGCTTACTCTTTCCATGTTTTGGCCACAATTTAGCTGTTTCAAGACTTCATGGAGATTAAGAGATTAGAATGATTTTTCTTTTTGTAGTGAGTTTTTTTTGAAAGACTGCTTATTTATAGGCATTGTATATCAGGTGTGACAACATTACAAATAAATCATAGCCAAAAATGCTCACAATATTTGAAACATCTTAGTGTTTCAGTGCCATGGTTTGTAAGAAAAATTCCTGTACTATCAGAGGTTTTCTTCACATAGTATAAAACCTAATCAGAGGGATCCAATACACTTCATGGAAACACCATCTCTGAAAAATGTTCCTTCATAAGTATATAAACAGTTTATATGAGCATAAACTGGATCTAACATATTACACTCTATATATAATATATAAAACAGTATTGGAAGTTTCATACAAACTTTGGACTACATACCTGAAAACTGATTTTAATTTTAAGAGTTTAAAAAAGGAGGTATGGCTTATTTTTGGCTGCCTTGAGGAAGCCCTTTGTGCTTCTTAGGAGCTCCTGGTGTAGGCCATTCAATCCAAGCCTACTATTTATAGTGGACTAATGAACTTTGGTAAAGCAGCAAATGTGTTCAGACACCCTTTGGCCTGTTCTTCTTAAATGTATTTTTTTTAAAAGTTGAATAATTTATCTCTTTCTGTTGTGTTTAATTTACACAATTCTTGAAGTTTAGTATATCCTTCTCAAAGAACTAGTGTCTGGTGTTTGCATTTTCTGCTGTCTTTTGATTTTAGCAGCAGAGATGATTTGGTTCTGAGGTTCTTGGCATACTCTTGTTATTTACAGTTGACATGGGCAACTCAGAAACTTGTCCAACAAAGAAACCCAACCATGCAGTAAACTGGATATGACAGGTAGATTTGTAATGGCTACAAAAAATAGCAATCCACTTGAAAACAATAAAAAAGAAAAAGGGAAAGGAAGGGAAGGGAAGGGAAGGGAAGGGAAGGGAAGGGGAAAAGGAATTCCAAAACAAAAAGAAAACAAACCCACAAAAGAAAGCAAAAACCAACAAAAAACCAAACCAAAACAACAACAAAACCAACCCCTGCCCCCCCCCCACAAAAAAAAAATACCCAAACCCCAAAACAAAACAAAACAACAAAAAAAACTCACTAGGAATTCTTTGTAGGAAAGGTTTGGCAAGTCCGAAAAGATTTGGCAGCAGAAGTGTCAGCAAGTGTTTTATCCTATGCTATCACTATCCTCTTTTGCTCAGAGGGCTACAAGCACTTTCTGATTTCTTAATTGTCCAGCTGGGCTCTGGGATTTTGGTTACACTGTGAGCATGCTGGTTCCAGGAGGAGACTAGCACTTGTTTGGTGGTATGGAATTTAAGGGATGAATAGGAGGGAATAGGAGGAGACTGATGGAGAAGCCTGAAAAAAGGAATGCAGATGAAATGAGCATACAAGAAAAGTGGAGAGAGACTACTTAAAGGCCCTGGATTGATGAGACAAGGGGAATGGCTTTCCACTGCCAGTGGGCAGGGATGGATGGGATATTGGGAAGGAATTGTTCCCTGGGAGGGAGGGAAGAGCCTTGCTCATGGTGCCCAGAGCAGCTGTGGCTGCCCCTGGATCCCTGGAAGTGTCAAGATGATCCCTGGCCCCGACACTTAATCCAGAACATATACACTGGGAAGCAACATGCCTCTAGCCAGGGATTACATTCCAATAAGGAGAATAAGAAGGGGGAATGAAGCAGAACCATGAGCAGCTGACCTGTTTCAACAGGCAGCAGCACCGGTGCTCACAGGCATTGCTGATGTGCTTCTCAAGGCCTGCAGGTTCAGGAGCATTTATTGGGTTCCTCTTTATAGAGCAGTGGGTTAAAATTTGTCACTTCAGACTTTTAATTAGAAAGCGTAATTGACATTTTGAAACACAGAATGCTAGTCTTAGTAACTAACACACACATTTGAAACTTCTCATAAATAAACTGTAAAAGTTTAATCAAAATGAAAGTTGCAAAAGCTGCATTTCCTGGCACAAATGAGTATAAGCAAGAGTCTGCTAATGTTATGGCTCCTCCTTTAGTGACAGAATATAAATTTTCTTTAAAAGAGCCCAACATTTAAATTATTAAACAACTTAAAACTTAAGCATGTTCTAATCATCAAGAATCAATAAGGTCAGAAAAGAGCTTTGAGAACAAATCCTGCATCTGATGAGATTCAAGCAAGGAAGAGGAAGGTCACAATAGAATAAATTTACTAGTAATTACTTTAGCCTCAAAGGTGAGGGATTTTCTCTTGAGCACTGAGTGCTTTAAGTCCATCAGTGCCTTCATTTAGGCTTTGTTAGGTAAGCAGCAGGTACACCAAGGGTCCTGCCTGGTTTCTCGTTGTAGTAAGACTGTAACCTTTGGTGAAGGTAGACACAGGACACACACTGAAATGTTCTAAAGAGCTTCCAGCAGCAGGAAATCCACTCACGTGCCATGTGCATCTCCTGAGAGAAGTTTATTTTCCCCAGCTAGGCAGGTCTGTACCACAGGGGAGAGCACTGGAGAAGCATGGTTGTTTCAGGGTGCAATGAGGAAGGCAGAGAGAAGGATTGGTTTTCACATTCATGTGTCAGTCTCTTGGGAGGAGGAATGCTCAAGGCCTCAAGCCAAGCTCATGCTCACCGCATCTCCGTTCCCCTCTTTATCTTTCCTCTCCAAGGTTTTGGCAGCACATTGTGAACCACTTTGCTGCAAAAGGTGTGTGCTGAATCTTTACAAAGTGTGGAGCTCCTCAGGGAGGCAGCTGTGTTGCAATGAAGGAGCCCATGGATCTGTGAGGAAAGAAAGGAAAATTTGTTGTCTGTTCCCTGCAGTTAGGAACTTTGGTTTTATCAGTCAGCTCTGTGGGAGTCCAGGCTGTGGCTTACCTTTGAAAGTGGAATGTATTTAACACAGCTTGTACGAGATTTCTGCAGCTACTACAGAGCTACCCAACAATGGCCCTTCAAAAAGAGTGATGTCCTCTCATGCTGTCTGCACTGGGTTCCTGCCTTGCCCATTCCTTTTTGCCACATTTTGGGTGATTCCATAGTTGATGTCTCAAATTGTTTGGTTAGCAGCTCCTAACACCCAGCTAGATTCTGCATACTGCTTCCCTTGGCAGGCAATCACCGACAGTACATGTGCTAATGCTGCTAAATATATGATTAACTATAATCAGGAGCAGCCTACCCACTAAACTCTGGTGATATAAGACTTGTCATTCAACACCGCCTCTCACACAGGAGGGCATTTTCTGTGTTATGCATGTCTGGAAACTTTTGGCAGGTGTTCATGTTTGGGTTTCCTTTGTTTTTCTAGTGGTAATGTTTGACCAACTAAAATATATGTTTATTCCTCCATACTTGAGTGGCAAAATCTCACTTCAAAAGAGTAGTGAAGAAAGAGAAAATACAGGATCTTCTGTGTTTTGGGAAGTGGGTGTGTTTGAACCTGTTTAGCTCCGTTTCCAGGAGATGGATGTTTTGGGCCAGATTCTCATCTGATGAATGGAGAGCTAAGCAGAAGATATTTGAATGGCATATCCTAGGAAATATGACTGACCACTGGGGAAAAAAATGATACTTTGGGAAAGTGATACCAAAGAGCTTTCAGTGTAGCAAAGAGGAAAACATTAATCTAGAAGTACTTATTCCTAGGCTTTTCTGCAAATATACCTGAATCATGGAGTCAGTGTTATTTTCATTTGTCTTCTTGCATCTGTTTGCTTTTTTACAAACAAACTGAACGGATTCTTGTTCTCTTTCAGCTCATCCTCTGGCTGAAGTCTTTGCATACCTATTGGACTGGCAGATCAGAATAACTGCACCACCATGGGCAAACATGTGAACTGACTTTTGTGAGGTTTTTATGACTTTTTTCAGGTTTGAAGAGCCACTCAGGTTATGTACTCGGGTAACTGAATCACTTTGTAATTTTTCATACCATGAAAAGGTTACCCAGGGAAGCTGGTGGGCCCCCATCCCTGGCAGTGTCCAAGGTCATGTTGGACAGGGCTTAGACCAACTTGGAATAGTGGAAGGTGTCCCTGCATATGGCAGAAGGGTAGAACAAGATGATCTTTATGGTCCCTCCAACCCAAACAATTCTGTAAGTCCATGATTCAATTCAAAGGCAAAATTTATGACAGAGGGCTGAAATGAAAGTAAGGTGATGTTAAGGATTACTAGAAATGTGTGATCTATTTGTTGTCTTGTAGTTACTTTAAGAGATGATATATTACCATTACTTAGTTACTTAATAAATTTTAATATTTACTGTCAACTCTAGGTTTATTGCAATTGAAAATACATTCCAGCGGAGAAGGTCAATAACAAAAATATAAGAAGTCATCCAACAGTCATGAAAACCTGCCAGTTTTCTTCTGCATTTTCAGCTGAAAAGGATGAGAGAGCAGACAGAGTGAGGGACTGTCTGGGACAGGAGTGGAGTCATCTCAGCATGGAAAGCCAATGATGCTGTCACAGTCTCCAGATTTAGCTGCTGTGAAAAGCTGAGCCACCAGGTTTATTTTCTGTTTGTGAGAAAATATTGCCAACCAAGAAAATCTGAGTAGTCTTTTCCACACCTAGGACTGAGCTTGGTAACACATCAGGAAAATGTTTGATCTGTGCTCAGAGCTGTGCAGTATTGCTTTGCAAAGCTGTGTTTTGTTCCTTGGTTCTCCTAATTGTGGAGGAAGGCTTTTCAGATGGACATTCCCATACAAATGTCCCAAACAGAAATTGCTAAAAGAAGGACCTTCAGTGGGGAGTTTGTGGAAGCAATGGCTTAAATTAAAACTATAGTGTTTGCAATCCCACACAGCTGTGCTGCAATCCCAAACATCAATCCTGCAATCCCACACATGTCAGCTCAGCCTGGAGCAAAGGAGGCTCAGGGGAACCTTCTGGCTCTGCACAACTCCCTGACAGGAGGGGACAGCCAGGGGGGGTCGGGCTCTGCTGCCAGGGAACAGGGACAGGACAAGGGGAAACGGCCTCAAGCTGTGCCAGGGGAGGCTCAGGTTGAATATTAGAGAAAATTTCTTTCCTCAAATTTAATCTAAAACTTCCCTGGTGCAAATTGAGGCCATTTTCTCTCATCCTGTTATTTTGGTAATACACAAGTTAAAATTATTAAATTGAGTCTAAACAATCTGTATTTTAGTTTAACATGTTGCATAAAAGTATCTACAAAATGAAAAGTATTTGGACAACTATCTTTCACAAATGATATTTATTAGGCAGAAATGTGCTAGAATTTCAGAGGTTTATTTTCATACATTTTGGTTTCATGAGTCTGCTTAAGAGGAAGCATCCTATTTTTTATTGTATACTTACACTGAGCAAACACCCCAAAATCATAAAGCTGGCATATATAAAAAATATCCTCTTCATTTCCTCATAAAATATCCCTGGGCAGTGTTTTATGTATTTTTTAAAACCATTAAAAAGCTACTGGTTTGTCTCTTGGATTAATTTGTAGCAAAATTGTATATAGACATCGGCATCTTTCAGTTCCAAAGGCAGCTGATATTTTGAAGGATGTTCTGCTGGGAATGAGGCCGGTGTTTTAATCTGCCCAGTTGCAGTTATTTTCACTTTTAATAACCTGCTACCTTGGAGTCTTGACAACGTTTAAACTGACAGTTCCATATCTTATTACTGATGATTAATCCTTGGTTCAGGCAAGCACACAATGAAACTAAAACACCATTTGTGGTTTAAGATACACAAGACATAATAAATTAATTAAGTGAACATCAGTCTCCTTTTCCTGTTTGAAGATATTGGTAAGAATATTGCTATGGGTTTGAGTTTATTTACCAATTTTTTTTACCTGTTTGTGGAATGAATATCAATATGGGACACTCACAGATGTGTTTGATGTTTGTCATTGCTTTAGTAATTTCCTTCTGGGATAACTGAGATCAATTTCTGCATCCAAAATCTGTTTCAAATGTGGAATTTATTTTAAAAAATCCAGAGCAGTGGTCATTCAGGAAATGAAAAGAGAGAACATGAGATAGAATTTAGTTAAAACAGAACAGAGTTGTTCAGGTGGAAAGGACCCACAATGATTCCCCAGTCCAAATGCATAAAAATCCAGATATTCACAGAAAAATGGGGACTACATAACTTAGGCAAGGATGTGCTGTTTGGTTACACTTCTCCTTTCATATGCTTACTGAGACAGAACATTTTATGCTCTGTAAAATGAAAATGTGCGCGTATACAGAGAATACTGGCATCATTACAAAATTCTGGCTGTAGAGTTTAGAATTTGGTCCATCATTTGACCGCTGGATTTATTTATTTAACAAGCTAAGTATTTTTATTTCTGGAAAGAAAATTGCCAGTCCTTGTAAATACAGTCCAGAAGTTTTTCCTAATCTTTCTGATGCCCCATTGCTGTGAGGTTTCAAATAGGCCATAGAGAGTGAGCAGGGTACTTGGGAGCTGCCTCTGGTTCCCTTCTCTAGCCCTGTCAGTGTCAGAGAGCCCAAGCAGAGAGTCCAGCATGTGTTGTTTTGTACCTGCTTAATGTTACCGCTCCACCAAAATCGAGGAGAAAGTTGGTGATTAATGTAGGATTCAAAAGAAGAATTTAACCTAAGTTCCATTTAACCTGTCCAGCCTTAATCAGGTTATTTCCATTTGTAGAAGGGAAACTGGGGAGAGGAATACTGAAGCTTATCTACAGTCATGCTTTGGACAAAGTACATAAACCTTGCCCACTGGATTGAGTTTTAGATCCTTGATCACACGAGTATGTTTGGGTTTCTTTTGTCCCTGAAGGGCTTGGAAAGCTCTGATGGCAATTAATGTACCCTTCAATAAAACAGATCAGTTTTCAAAAGTTTTCCAAGGCTGCTGGTTGAAGAATTTTTCTTATGGCTCTGCACCACTGCAGCTTCTGTCACAGAAAGAGATTTTTCCACCATGGACTCTTTTATCAGATAAATGTAAGAATATTTTTGCTTGGGTTTTTTTAAAACATAATTCCAATCTTTCACTTCTGAGTCTGTGAAAATCACAAAGATTTCCTGTCATATCAATTGAACAGCTTTTGTCTATTAGTGTTTTGTTACCAATGCTTCAGTTTGTGCCCCTGTGTACTGCCTTAAGCTGAGCTCTCTGCAAAACCCTTCCCTCCTAATCCGCAGTGTGATTCCTCCCTGGGGCTAAGCTCCACACTGCATCCCGGAAAGCAATGCCAAGGCCAGAGGGGAGAACTGAGCCATCCATTTATGTGGAGCTGCTCCCACAGGCAGCACTCAGGGCAGGGGAGGAGCTGCAGTTCTGCCTCAGTGGACCTAAGGGAAGGAGGATGGAGCCATTCTTTGAAGGAAAAGTGTCAGAACTGAGTATTTTTCATACTGAAGGTGAAAACAGCTGCTCGTTACAGCAAATTAAAAACCCCTAAATGGGATGAAAGTGCCATGTTTTACTGAGCTCTGCTGGGAAGGCAAGTGTCTTGGTTTAGAGACAAGGTTGAGAAGAAAAACACCCTGGAATGAGTGTTTTTACTAAAGAGAAGGGCTTCAGTAATCCCTTTTGACAATGAGAAATTAATACCAGTGCGTGAAAGCGAAAAAACTCCTGTTTATGAACAAAGCATGGTGCCCAAAAGGCACAGGAAAAAAATAAAAAGAAAGGAGAAAAGTTGAATAAATGCTAGGTATTGAAATTGCAGAACTTTACTCTCCGTTCCCCACCTGGCTGCTTGGCTGAGAAGGCAAAAATGGTGGCTGGCTTTGTTTCAGGGAAGGGAAAATTTCCTGCAGCGGCTTGGGCAAAACAGGTGGGAACCTGCTGAACCTCTGGCCTTGGTCTCCTTTTCACAGCAGATGAAGCTGGTGGATTTTGGTGTCCTTTCTCAGTTCAGCTTCTTTTCCCCAGTCTCAGGCTTGAAGCAGCCCCCCTGCAGGCTTCTGGTCCACAGTCTTGGTGATTCAGATCTCCAACCAAATGCCAACCCGAAATAGTTAAAGAAGAAACCAAAATGCTGCCAAAAGGATTCCTGGTACAGCCTCCAAGCCAGCAGAAGGGAAAAAAAAGGAAAACCTCTTGCTTAAGATAACAAAACTAATCTAGAGAAAGCAACAAAGTGCCATCCAATCCTCACACCCGAGGACAGAGTCTTTGAATAAATTCTGGGCAGGAGCTCCAAGGCTCCTGTCCCTACTCTGGGCCCACTTCAAAGCTACAAATGATGCCCATTTCTGGATATAAAGGAGATCATTAGGGAATAGAGTACAATCATAAAATCATCCCAAGACAGCACTGAATCCCAAAGCTGGACCACAGCACTATACTGAAGATGCAATTTTGTGGGACATACGCTGAAGTCCCATTAATTTGTAGATTGAATCAGCAATCCCAGAATGGTTTGGGTGGAAGTACCTTAAAGGCCACCTATCAAAAGGCAGTGGCACCTTCCACTGTCCCAGGCTGCTCCAAGCCCCCAAGTCCAGCCTGGCCTTGGACACTTCCAGGGATCCAGGGACAGCCACAGCTGCTCTGTGTCAGGGCCTGTTCCAGAGCCTCCCCACCCTCCCAGGGAACAATTCCTTCCCAATATCCCATCTATCCCAGCCCTCTGGCACTGGGAAACCATTCTCTGTGTCCTGTCCCTCTATCCCTTGTCCCAAGACCCTCTCCAGCCCTCTTGGATCTCTTTTCAGCACTGGAAGTGACTCTAGGGTCTCCCTGGATTCTTCTCCTCTCCAGGCTGAACAAACTCTACCCTTCCAAAACTCTTTTGAGGGTCCTGTTAGACCCATGTCTGCAATATTAAAAATCTGAACACCTGAGGAACTCCTGTCCCAAATCCTTCCACAGAACTTTTCTCTGTGTAAAGGAGGAGGTAAGGCCATGGTAGGGAATCCTGCTCTGCTTCCTGTGCCTGGAAGACATCATCCCTTCTGTAAAGGACATAATTAATATGTAAGTGACTTTTTTAATGCATTATTTATATTCCTGAGGCAAGATGAAAAAACCCACTATATTGCCTACCTACGTAGGTAGGCTTCATGTTCCTGCAGCTAAAACCAGTGCTGTTAGCTCTGAAATATATACAAAAGAAACTTTGGTGTTGATTCTTTCTTTCTGACTGTCCTGGGGTGACTTTGTGATGGTTGTATCCCAAATTTTCTGTTCTGTTTATGCTGGATATTAAGTTCTGCACCTTTAAGACTGGTTCTGAGAGTGAAGTGGGGGAAGAAGTGTGCAGTTTGTGTTGAGAAAGATACTCACTGCCCCGCATCCTGCTCCTGGACTGGTGTCTGCAGCACGGACAGACAGCGGGACAGAGCTTCTCTTTGGCTTTTAGTTAGTTTTAGCTAGCTGAGGCAGAGGAGCTCCCTGGGCCTTTTTTCCCCTTTTTTCTTGGATCTGTTCAAACCTGCTCTGGACTGAAATCCCAAACAAACCCCAAGAGCTCAGGCCTGTGGCCCACTGGGGCCTGGGCTTGGTGCTTCCCAGCACCACAGGGACTGATAAGAACCTGAGCGAGCCGAGCTACTCCACATGAAAAAGACTTTTCTGGATTTGCCATCTCATCAAACAGTGAGATATCGTTTAATATTATTATTGTTAAGATTATGTTTAATATTACTCAATTTCTGTTAAATAAACAGTTTTTTCCTCTTTTCTCCGAGGAAATATTTTTCCCAACCAGTTAAGGGAGGGGCCATTTGAATTTGATTTCTGGAGGGACCCTATTCAGAAGTTTTCTCCCACATTTGCCCTAAACAAGGACGGTAACCTTCTCAGTCTTTTCACTTCTTCAAAGCTGAAATGTTTTGGCCTGAAATCCCCTATTTTTGCTGATACTAAGATAGGTAATTAATTACCTGTTCCTGTGCCTGATGTATCACTTACATCAGGCACAGG